CTAATACAACCACTTATCTCACTTGATGTGATGAGGTCCGATTGAGCTTCAGGGACTCGTATAATAAATCTAGACATAATATACTACTTTGTTGAGCCAGAAGAACATCAAGACTCAATCCTAAGGATAGCTTGTACACTAGACTGATGCAAAATTTGACATTTTCGCTCCACAGTGTTCAAATGGTTTCAAATCGGGTCCAGATTAGCCTCCGAAAGTTTAAACTCATTGAATAAGAAACTGACTTGGCACAAACCATTTGAAATTTATATGAAAATTACTACAGGAAAACCAAACTTGTTGTTCATTTTTTTTCTTGCCTTTTCCATATTGTACTGTTAACAAGTTCTATTGCTATTCTCATGGGAATTTTTATCTACTACAACTTTGCAGAAAATCTTTTTTCAGCCAAACGTCAAATTAAATAGTTATTAACTGTTTAAGAGATTGATAATCTTTTAGCAAGTTTAAGCAACTGTATTGTGGGCAACACTGTATTCTGCAGTGTGACAAAGTAGCCATGATTTTTGTCCTCTATTCTACGCGCCATAAACACCAATGTTGCCTGCTGAACAGATGATTGAGCATAATTATAAGACATCAGTGACTTAAATCATTAATAATTTTTGTTTCTTACATTTGATCGAAAACTGGTCTTGATTAATATTGTGGCTGAGAAAATTTTCAACAAGCTCAGCTATTATTTTCTAAAAAAAGAGTGAACTGGTGAATTTTGAGATAGATATGAACCGAAATTATGGTTTTCCCATACTAATTTCCATATATACTTCAAATAGTTTGTGCCAAGTTAGGTTCTTACTAAATGAGTTCAAATTTTGGGAGGATAATCAGGACCAAATTTGGAACCGTTTGAGCACTGTGGAGCGAAAATTTCAAATTTTGCATCAATCTATTGTACACTCCAACAGGTTTTTTCATTAAAACTACATATCCCGTATGATAATATGGAGCTCCACGAAGCATTTTGGGTACATACATTTTTACGAGATATCTACAACTTCGTTGTAACTGTAGAACATCAAAATCCAAGACAGTTTGGAGCATGGAACTCCAAGACAGTTTGGAGCATGGAACACATTATGTTAATACAACTTCTTATTTCACTTGATGTGATGAGGTCTCATAGTACTGCATGGATTCGTATAATAAATCTGAACATCATACAAGACTTTGTTTAGCCTGAAGAACCTCAAGACCAGGGTTGTTAATGAGGTTAACGTCCGTTAGCGTCTTCAATGCAAATTTCCAGTGGAGATGTTAACGGTGACTTTAACAATTAAAAACCCTGATCAAAACCCAAACCCCTCGATAAATTTTGCCTCTCAACATGTTTTGTCATTACAACTACATATCTTGCATGATAATATGGCACCCATGAAGCTTTTTGGGTTCACAAATTTAGACGAAACATCGTATGAAACCTCGCTTTATCTGTAGAACATCAAGATCTAAACTCCAAGACAGTTTAAAGTATGGAACACATTTTGTTAATACAACTTCTTATCTCACTTGATGTGATGAGATTTCACGGAGCTGCATGAATTCATATAATAAATTTGAACATCATACAATACTTTGCTGATACCGAAGAACAACAAGACTCAATCCTGAGGAAAATTTGTACAACCCAACATGTTTTGTTATTACAACTATATATCCCACATGACAATATGGGGCTCCACTTTAGTCGAGACATCGTACAATACCTCGTTGAATCTGTAGATCATCAAGATCTGAACTCCAGGACAATTTGGAGAATGGAACATATTTTGTTAACACCTCACATGCACATGCTCTATGATGCGGGTTCGGTTAAACAAATCTGTTGGTACATCGTACAAGACACCGTTGAGCCTGTAGAACTTGATGAGGTAAACTTTAGGATGATTTGTAGGACCATAGATATTTTGTCAACCATACTATGTATCGCACAGAATGCTATTGAACTTCCCTTAGCTCAGTCGGTAAAGGCGCAGCTACAAAGCAAGACCCAGGCCCTTTGGAGTGAGAGACTGTCACGCTTACCACTACACCACAGGCGCCGCTTGATACCAAGATTCTTAGATTAAGAGATATAACACGACTCTACAATTCAGCTTTTGAAGGAAAAGGACTATTCCACACAGAATGGATGCCAATCACATCAAATATCGAGATTTGTGTGAAGTTTTGAGAAGTCGCCAGATAATTTCATAGGACTTGATTAAACTATCTTCAGGAGTCTTGTGAGTTTAGTTCTGAAAAAAATTCAGAGGCAATGCTCTGCATATTTTTAGCTATACAGGGCATAATTCCCCCGAAATCATATTGGAGAGCTTACGGGTAAAGTTTAAAAGTCTTATGGCCTTACTTATGAACTTTTGAAAACTGATTAACACCTAGATGTCTTATGAGTTAAACAACCAGAGCAATTGTGTCTATTATTAACAAAGTTCATTTCACCTAATCCAGTTTGTGAACCCCAGAGCCTCTATGAAATACTGTCGGTGGCCTTACAGATTGACTTGATAGGCATTATGTGTTAAGTCAAGGAGCCGTATGGGTGAAAGTTCTGTAGAGAACTTATTGGTCAACTCCAAAGGAATAATGCTATATGGTTTTTTTCCTTGATTTGTTTTCCATCGACCTTGTTTTCCGTGCTGAGCACCAATGCTACCGATGCCAGGGAGGCAGCTCCCACATCTATAGTTATGGTTTTTTTCTTTCTTAATGAGGGAACCACTCCTTTTGACTGTCGAAATGAATCTGCCTGCTTCTGTCGGCATGGGAAATATTTATAGTTTATTTTTCTACCTCAATCTACCTAAAAATCTACCCTAGCTGGTTATTGCCTCTTTTTATACACTGCCTGTGCTTTTTTTTTTTTTTTTTTTTTTTTTTTTTTTTTTTTTTTTTATACAGGGGGGAATCTGCTCACAGACACCTGAGAAGGAACTCAGGGTGTGGGGATGGGAGAATTTCACTCCCGACCCACTAAACCTTACCCTGTGCGCTTGGCCCTTGGCCTCCCCGGAACCGCCCGAAGGCATTACTTCGTGGGAGGGGCCGCTGTAGCGCTATGGCGCCTCTCTAGCAATACTCTAACGATCTGGTCGGGCAGTAGGTAACTGCTGCTCGGCTCGCCACTGTCGTTATAATACCGAAACTATGTGGGTGACCGCAGTCACCACCGCGCTCCAGTTCTCGGTGGTACCACACATCCTATTAACGATGTTGTCCGGACTGGTATCCGCTCCGCATATCGCTAGCATAGCGCTCGATACTGGCTCGAAACGTGGACAGGCAAACACGACGTGTTCGGCGGTCTCCTCGACACCAGCACATGTGGGGCAGGTGGGAGTACTTGCATGTCCGAACCTATGCAGGTAGCTCCTAAAGCAGCCATGGCCTGACAGGAACTGTGTCAGGTGGAAGTTTACTTCCCCATGGCGCCTGTTGACCCAGCTTGATACGGAAGGTATCAAGCGGTAAGTCCACCTCCCCTTTGTGGAGTTTTCCCACTCCAATTGCCATCTCGCGGTCGACACAACTCGCGCGTTGTTGCGCACCCCTCGAACGGTCCTCGCGTCATAACACGCCACATCCTCCTTAATGATAAGGCTGATTGGCATCATCCCTGCTATGACACAGACGGCCTCTCTCGAGATAGTGCGGTATGCACTGGCCACCCTTAAGCACATTAGCCTGTGTGTACTCTCTAATTTCTGCCTGTGGCAGTCAATATCCAGTACCGCAGCCCACGCAGGGCCGCCGTATCTGAGGATAGATACTACGACCCCAGCGAGGAGCCTGCGCTTACTGGCATTCACTGCCGAGCTGTTTGACATCATACGGGATAATGCCCCCACAGCCATAGACGCTCTCTTGCAGGCGTACTCGACGTGGCAGCCGAAGCTGAGCTTATCGTCGAGCATGACCCCCAAGAGTTTTAGAGAGCGCACAGACCTAATTGTGCTTCCGCCGACTGTCAACGTTGCATGCTGTACTGACATCACTGCCTGTGCTTAGCAGTGATAAAACGTACAGTACTGTATGTATGATACAGTGCTGTGCTAACTCTATCGACCCATCAACTCATGAGCCGGGGACCAACGGCTTTACTTCCCTTTCGAAGGAAGGCGTGATCAGAGATGTTCTGGCTCAGAACATCCCGGCGGCGCCGACTGGGATTGATCCCAGGTCTGCTGGGATGAGAGGTAATCACGCTTACCACTAAACCACCGGCGCTGCTTTTGCTTTATGGGTTAACTAGCCTAATTTGTGGTTCTGGTCCTTCCAGGTTCAGAGGAGTAGTAAGTTTAAAGTTTAAGTTTAAACTTTAAGTTTAAAGTTTAAGTTTAAAGTTTAAGTTTAAAGTTTAAGTTTAAAGTTTAAGTTTAAAGTTTAAGTTTAAAGTTTAAGTTTAAAGTTTAAGTTTAAAGTTTAAGTTTAAAGTTTAAGTTTAAAGTTTAAGTTTAAAGTTTAAGTTTAAAGTTTAAGTTTAAAGTTTAAGTTTAAAGTTTAAGTTTAAAGTTTAAGTTTAAAGTTTAAGTTTAAAGTTTAAGTTTAAAGTTTAAGTTTAAAGTTTAAGTTTAAAGTTTAAGTTTAAAGTTTAAGTTTAAAGTTTAAGTTTAAAGTTTAAGTTTAAAGTTTAAGTTTAAAGTTTAAGTTTAAAGTTTAAGTTTAAAGTTTAAGTTTAAAGTTTAAGTTTAAAGTTTAAGTTTAAAGTTTAAGTTTAAAGTTTAAGTTTAAAGTTTAAGTTTAGTCCAGAAGGGGCCAATTCTTATTGAGGTCTGATTTTCTGGGGGCAAAAACGAAACGTTAAAACCCTATTTAACGTTAAAAGGAAATTCTGCTGATTTGCTGATTTAATTTGCTCCACTCAAACAACTATTCGTCAGCATATTAATATGTTTACAATTTTGCATCCTCCATCATAAGCTCAAATTAAGCCTCAAACCTAACTTTCCAATTTTGTTTGTCTTTTCCCATCATTTCAGAGTACTACAGCCATCCAACCCGGATTGCCACCATTAAGGATCCAACAGTGCTCCCAACCGCGGTCGCCAGTGCCGACGTGCTCGCGTGTGTTAGTGTGTTTCAAATTCTATACAAACCTACCTGTCTCGTTCGGACCCCGGCAGCACCGTGGCTGCACACCGGCGGAGGACATCGATCGCAGCGTCGGGGGTCGAGCGTCCAGTGATCCGACGACATTAATGTGGGAAATGTTGGATCCGGATCTTGAGTGTGGCAACGAATGTGGCGGCCCGGGACCACCTCCGGAGTTTCGGATTCCGCCACCGCCGCGGCCTCCCTTCCTGGCCGAACTTAGCAACTGCAACGAAGACGGTGCCGGCGGTGGCTCGGTGGCAGCCATGCTTGGACCGGGTGGTTCGGCCGCCACCTCCTTCTCCACCGACGGGGACATCTGCGAAGCGATACCGGTAAGTGCAACCAGCAACGACACACTCACTTTTGCTAATTAAAACTTTGGTAAGGGGCAAACTTTTTAATTATTCCTGGTGAACAAATTGTGCTCCGGAATGCGCAGTATGCAGTCAGAGTGGTTTAAAACAGTTTTGAAAGCGTAACGCCCTGACTGAATACCTTGCTGGCATTTGCTACCGACGAAACTGCACTCGTTCAACTTTCCACCGGTTTTAGGTGGCAAAAAAACTAACGTCGCAATAATAGAGTGACATGCTTTTTCGTAGTAAAGTTGTTTTTTTTTTGACGTTGGAAAAAATGTGGCATGGAACTGTTTGGTACTAGGCAAACTGTATATTTTGATAGGGAAACTATGGTTTCTACGTGCTTGCCGACGATTTTGAATGCTTACACAACTATACAACCATAGAAAAACTTCTATGACTTCTCGAAAGTGACATTTATTATGAGCTTTTTGCCGGATAATTAACATAATTATTTCATTATCGGACAGATTTAAGCCAAACGGTCACAGAATTTTATGAAATTTTGCCCACAGGCACAGTTTATAATTATATGAACGAAAACAAAATTTCAAAAATTCGGGGTTGTTAAGCTACCCGGAAAATGCTAGTTGAAGTAGGAAGTTTGGTAGGTAATTCCGAACTTTTCTAAAGTGATTCCACACTTTTGTTAAGTGATTCATTTCTATTCAAAGTGTAGTTCTGTACTTTCCAATGTGACTCCTAACATTTATTAAGAGAGTCAGAATACTTCCCGAAGTGATTCAAAACTCTTCTGAGGTGAATCAGTGCTTTCCGAAATGATTGTAATCTGAAGTGATTCAGTACTTTATGTAGTTATTCCAAACTATCCAGAAGTGATTTGGTACTCAGGCATGGAAAATCAATTACATTCATTTGCCTCTAAATTTTTACCTACATCTTTTAAATAATTTGAATTTGTATCTCTCACGCATGATGAACCAGAGCAAATAGAACCCTCCATTATTTTTCAGTGAATGTTAATTACGTTCTCTGAAAAACAATAACATGTTCTGCCCGCTCTAGTTCGTCATGCATAAGAGATACAGATTTATGGAAATCAACAAAAGTTATAGTTAATCAAAAAACCTACAAATGTTTCATACATTATTTTACGGAATTCTGTTCATGAAAAAAGTTAGAGGCAAAAGAATCTAAATGAATGCAGGAAATTAATGTAAATGATTTTCCATACCAGTTCCGAAGTGATTCAGAACTATCCTGAAGTAATTCAGTACTTTCCAAAGTAGTTTTAAACTTTATTGAATTGGTTCATGCTAGTCTGTGTGGCAATACTTTTCCACGCGATTCCATACGTATAACTGGTAGTGTTTTCAAGTGATTCCTAACTTTTCAGGTCTGGTTCACTTCATATTCAAGTGATTCCAAACTTTTCTGTTCGAATTCACTACATACTCCAGTGTTTCCAAATGTTTTAGCTGTCTGATCCACTTCACATTCAAGTGATTCCAAGCATTTCAGGTATGATTTACTTCATATTTATGTGCTTCAGGTCTGATTTACTTCATATACAAACGGTTTGAAAATGTTCAGGACTGATTCTCTTCATATTCAAGCGATTTCAAACTTCTCAGTTCCGATACATTTCACATTTTTGCATGCACGTAGGGACATAAAGGGTGTCCACAGTCAAATAACATCACTTATACCCCGTTCACATTACAACGTATATCACGTGATATACGCTGTCTTGCAATGAGCACTCATACATCTAGTTTTCACTGGAAATCCTTTGTATGAGTGTTCATTGCAAGACAGCCTATATTACGTGATATAGGCTGTAATGTGAACGGGGTATTAGAAGTACTCGCCAAAAATAAGTCTTTCCACCGTATCATTATTTTGCTCTATTTTTTGACCAAATTCAAATGCCCAAAATGTCTTCCTAATTCCACCCATAAGGTTTTGTACAACGGTTGAATAAACTTTTTTTCTGCTTTCAACCATGATTTCAACATTTCCTGCTCCGTAGTGACAACTTTAGGATGCTTACGGAGTTCTTGCTTCATTATAGCCCAGTATCTTTCGATCGGCTGCAACTGCGGTGTGTTTGGGGGATTGAGATCCTTCGACACTAAATTGACCCCATTCGTTTTGTATCTACCACTCCAGAACGTCCTTGACAAGAGGGTAGATCCAGCCAAAAAAATTTAGGAACGTTGTTTGATTTGAGAAACCGAAGCAGTCGTCTTTCAGGCACTCATTCATGTAGGCTTTCCTAATAAAATTGTTTCGGTTATTTTGCTCAACGACATGTTAAGGGTATCATCCAAACCAATTTAGGTTAGCGACTGAAAGTCAATTTTTATTTGTTATATGCGACAGTTAGAAGATACTGAGAGGTTAGCACATATCATCGGCAAGAGACGTGCGTGTGAGAAAATTTGCGAAAAAATCTAAGGGCACCGGTGGGATTCGAACCCACAATTCCCATTCAGTACACGGGTGCATTGCCAATTATACAACGGTGGACCTATGGTCTACGGATGTATTTGGCTAATGACATATGAGTTTCGAATCCGTTTCCCTCCCTAGTCTTTTTGCGCAAGCGTTGTGATGTAGAACAGAGACGAGTTGTGTTTGTTCACATCGACCGATACTGAGTGGCTGCGGTACAAGCACATATCGTCGGTAATAGACGATTGTTGTGTATTGAGAACGCTTGTGCAAAAAGACTAAGGGAGGGAAACGGATTCGAAACTCATATGTCATTAGCCAAATACATCCGTAGACCATAGGTCCACCGTTGTATAATTGGCAATGCACCCGTGTACTGAATGGGAATTGTGGGTTCGAATCCCACCGGTGCCCTTAGATTTTTTCGCAAATTTTCTCACCCGCACTTCTCTTGTCGATGATATGTGCTAACCTCTCAGTATCTTCTAACTGTCGCATATAACATCCAAACCAATTGTGGAATAGTTCTGTTATTTGAGTTATCGTTCGTTTGTGTTTTTTTTTTCTTTTATTAGCATTGGCCATTTACGGTTGTAGTAGTTACTTAAGACTTACTCCGTTTTCTGCACGAACAAACACATACTGGTTTCCCGGAATTTGTTTGAAGTCCGCAGTGTGGTTTTGTCAATATTTGTGTGTACAGCTTACGTGCCCGCGTTTAAGCTGTCATATTCTGGCGTTCATTGCGGTTTGGTGCTTTCTGAACCTTGAATGTACGTAGTCCTGCTTGTTCCTTGGCTTTCTGCACGAAACTTTTTGCCAGGTGCATTCTTTTCGCGACATGACATCCCGAACCGAATAGTTGGGTTTGGGTTCAACGCAGTACTGAACACTTTTTCTTGCACTCACTTGCTTCCGATCGACAGTTAAGCGTTTTCCGAAACGTTTTATGACACGAGAAACAGTAGATTGTTGGAATCCCAACATCTTTCCGATGGCTCGGTGCGAAAAATGTGGGTTGTTGAGGTGAGTGTATACATTTTTCTCGCGCACGCGCTTTTCCTTCGACTCTATTTTAAAAACCACTAGAAATTTCACAATGAAACTTAGGCAGGGTAAACAATACACCCTGAGGCAATCTCACCCAAAATATCATTAAAATTAACCTAGCTAAAGTCACAGCTTTTTTTAAAGTGATACAATTTTACTATGGACACCCTTTAATTTCGAAACGAACGAAGCACTATCCGCTCAGCCATGAACTTCTTAACAACTTTTCTGAAGACTCAGACATTCTAGGTCGTCGCGATCAAGAGATGTTCAATTTTAGAATAATTTGTTCAATCAGATTGAGTCCAACTCTGGTGTCACGAACATGATCCTCAGTTGGGTATACTTTTGGTGGACAAGCTTATTGGTGACGGTAGTGTGTATACTCCTTTCGTTGACAAGACTGAATGGAATCAAAACTTTCAAACAGTTGGACTATGGTGTGCAGTGTTGGGAAAATATGGAAAAAATCAAATCTCACCAACGCCCAAGATCACGCTTGATTTTCGTAGACAAAAATCAACTAGTAAACAACTGCGGTTGATTTATCAAGCTGTGATATCGCAGCTCGGAATATCAAGCTAACAAAACTCACCAACTGCAAATCTCACCAAACTGTGGTGAGATTGGTTTTAATGATTTTTGCTTTACACCCGAATGCAACCGAAACTTCCATAATTGCTTACAGCAGTCCCTTTCCGTCTGCCATCGGTGAAGATTAAAAAGAGATAGGAAACTATGCTTTCTCTTTCTAAGAAAGCGATATGCAATGGAATCATTTCTGTTTTGATTCAACTCTCAGCTTGATTTTTGCACGTTGTGAATAGTCTCGCAATATCAAAGGAGCTTGTAAAATCAATATCAAGCATGATATTTTGTACCAATATCACGCGTGATATTGAGAGCGCATAAGAGCGGAAACATATCAATTGATTTCTGATTTTACCAACACTGATGGTGTGTAACACGAACAATATTATGTATATGAAAATATTTGTGACGAAATTAAAATTCATATGCGAATACCTATCTAAAGAACGTAATTTGATTTTTTGTTTCAGTTACCTGAATTCCCCAGAAGAATTAAAAATAAACAAAAGAATAGAATTCTTGAGCATCCTTGATCTAGCTTGCATCTTAAAAGAATGCTTACGAGACGGCATTGATTTATTATCAGTCCAAGCACTTCAGAATAATGCTTGCTCTCCTTTTTTGTTCCTTTGGGTTGTTTCCGTCGATCTTGTTTTCCGTGCTGAGCACCAATGCTACCGACGCTAGGGAGGCAGCTCTCACACCTGGACCCTACCTATCGACCCATCAACTCATGAACCGAGGACCAACGGATTACCGTTTCGAAGGAAAGCGTGATCAGATATGTTATGCCTCAGAAAATCCCGGCGGCGCCGACTGGGATTGAACCCAGGCCTGCTGGGGTGAGAGGTAAGCACGCTTACCACTACACCACCGGCACCGCTTACTTGATCTACTTGAAGGCATCATATTCG